CTAAGCCCAGAGGACTGCTAAAATACCACTGCCTTCTAGGTTATTAGGGAGCTGAATTCCTGCCTTCCACAGTCAAAGAACTGGCAGTATAATTGGGGGGGAGGGGGAGGCCTGGTGGCCTCTGTGTTAGTGTATAAATAATAATAATTTTAAAATACCTATTTAATAAAAAAATAATAAAAATCATAATTAAAGTAAAAAAAATAAATAAATACCACAGACTGAGTAGCTTAAACGATAGAAATTTACTTTCTCACAATTCTGGAGGATAGCTATCAATAAAGTACAAGATCAAAGTGTCCCCAGGGGGTTCTTTCCTTCTGAGGCCTCTCTTCTTAGCCTTTAGGTAGATGGCCACCTTCATGTTCAAATGGCATTCTCCCCATATATCTGTGTCTAAATTTCTTCTTATTAAGTATACCAGTTGAACTGGATTCGTGCCACCCTAAATGGCCTCATTTTAACTTAATTACCTCTCTAAAGATCCTATTTCCACATAGAGTTATATTGCGAGCTACTAGGAAGTAGGACTTCGACATACGCATTTTGAAGGGCACAATTCAGCTCCTAACAGCCTGCCACTAGATCATGAGCTTCTCAAAAGGCAGGAGCTATAAAGCTTGTCCTTCCTTCTCAGTACCCACCAAACCTAGCACAATCCCTGGAACACAGAACATTCCCAGTAAGTAATTTAATAAATAAAGGATATTTCCAAAAGCACAATCTGCAGATTGTGGTCTCCTTCAAATCTGGTGCCCAGCACCACACATGGCTTTGACTCTCCCTGAAAGAAAGTTTGATGCTGTCATCATCTCTAGTTAGTCCACTACCAAACAGCTATTTATGTGACTCTCAACGCGTAGCAAAAAAAAGAAAATCCTTCAGGCCACACACCCAAAGCCACTGAGAGTGCTCTTCTCCCTCCAGATCCAATGTGATACTCACACTGACAGCCACCCCACAGGGCTAGAGTCAGACTCAAAATCCAGAGAAAACCAACACTGCTGTGCCTTCAAAACAAGGCATCCCGGCTGAGGACAAACAGTAAATGGACATCTGCTGCCCTCTCCCTCTCACTGCTCCGTGCGATTTTGATACACCTATCAAGCATGGAACCTGCCTTTCTTACTATAAAGACAGGCACATGACCTAATCAGTTCCCTACTTTCTCCCAGGAATCTGAATCCTACGTGAAGTGAGGTGGAGATATAAAATAACTGGAGGGAGACTGGCCCCATGGCCTAGTGGTCAAGGGAGCTAGATCCCATACGGTCAACAACACAGTTCAAATACTGGACCTGCCTACTTGAAAAGTACGAGCAGTGCACGTGCATGTGTGCCCAAAATTGCAGCAGGGCCAAGAAATGAAAGAGAAGGGATTGTGGCATGACTACACGCCACTGAGGGCGCTTTCTCTTCTCTCTGCTGCTCTCTGGAGAATACACATACCCACTGGCAATTTAAAAAAAATAAAAATAAAAAAAAGGAAGGAATGTAGGTTGGAAGGAATGAAAGAAAAGGATAGATGAATTACAGACAGAGAGACAATAATAGGAGTGAGTTGGTTAAGCCAGTGCCATGAAAGGTTCCTGGTACACACATTCCTGAAACAGCCTTGGCTCCTGACCGCCTCAAGGTCTGATGCATTCTGTTTTTGTCTTCAAGACCTACCTGATAGTCTTTCAATAAATGTCCTCTCCTTAAATTAGATACTGTTTATTCTGTCGTCCTTTACCAAAGAATCTTAATAAATATAATAGCCCTCAGAAGTGAGGTATAGCTACTGGTAGATCTAAAATACAGAAATAGGAGCTGGCAGTAAGGATTCTTTGACCCACTACAGAAAAGTTTGCTCACCATCCTTGCTATGACATTTCAAAACAGCCAAACACACTACTTTCTTCTATATTTTGGGATTTTGTCCACATGCCTTCCCAGGTTAAATCTTTAGGGAAACGTCAAAATGCTGGAGTGTGTGGCCATTTCTAACATCTTTTGTTACTCTGACAAGCACAGAAATGATTTAGCTTTAACTAACACGGCCTATCTGAATGTAAAAAATCAGCCTTATTTATACTGGCCCTTTCTTTTGGTAGGAATCCAAAATGGCAGAGTCAGACAGATCATCATGAACAACTAGGGAATTTGTACACTTGGCCTTGGTCAATGGTAATGCTACAAAGCACAGAAAAAAAGGAAACGCAGCAAAAGACAAGACTGGAACCAAGAGAATTGGAGGAAGCCCAATTCCCCACATACCTCCCTGGCAAAGAGTTGAGCATTGAGATGAAGCCAAAGGGTAAGGAACAAACTAGCTTTGCCCTTTCTCCCAAAGGCAAAAAGATAAGCAACAAAATGAAGGGCTGGAGGGTAGGCAGAACAGTGAAGCTGACTTCTAAGAGAGAAGCCCCCAGAGTCAAAGTTCAACCCACAGAATAGAAAAGGCACATAAACCAGCAGCTTGAATTCAACTCTCATAGAAACCTAAGAAGATAAAAATCTCTCATTGCTCCAGAGTCACTCTCCAAGTATCCTAACCCATTGCACCCCCAGAATTTAAGATGCTGAAATAATGTACCCCTATTAGAAAAATCCTATCCATGGTACTCAATATGTCTGGGGATTTCAGGAGGCAACAGAGAGAGAGGTACCTAAGGCAGAGAAGTATGGCAACTACTATACGTATGTCTGATATTGAAGGGAAAAAATCAGAAAACAATAATAGCTACATGCAGCCCCAGCCACTGTAGTGCAGCCATAACACAGTGCCCTGTGAGCCTAGAAGCCACAAGACCAACTGTGGGTTTGAATCCCTGGGTAGCCTGGAAACACGCCAGTCACGCATGCAGGTGCACACAGGCATTCAGGATCCTAAGGACTTTAGGCGCTGGGGATAGGGGTCAGAGCATAATGAGACTCCGTCAAGGGTGCTTTCTCTCTCTCATACATTCACACTCATTCATTCATATTCATTCTCATACTATCTCAAATATTCCAATAACATCTAAATACAATGGCCTCTGTAACATTAAAGACTATCACCAACCTAGCGTCCAAGTTAAGTAGTATCAGCAACATTCTACAAGACACAAGAAATGAAAGACTTAAAACACAAACAATAGGAAAAATAGGAAGGGATGAACTCAAAAACATACTATGGGGGCCAGCGGGTAGTGTGGTTGTTGAAGCACTGGACTCCCACATGGACAATTGTGGTTCAAGTCCCAGACCTGGCAGCTTTCTCTCTCTCTCTCTCTCTTCTCTCACACACTCTCTCTCTCACACACACACACTCTCTCTCACCCACACACTGTCTCTCTCTCACCCACACACACTCTCTCTCTCTCTCACCCACACACTGTCTCTCTCTCACCCACACACTGTCTCTCTCTCACCCACACACTCTCTCTCCCCCACACACACACACACACACACACATACACACACATACACACATACACACACATGCTCTATGGCAAAAATAATAACAACAATAAATAAAATTTTAAAAATTAAAAAGCGACTATGTGGTGGTAATAGAAGAAATTGTATTTCTTGCGTTATACTAAGAGAACAGCTTTGATCTACAAAGAGTCTAAGTGAAGTAAGAATGTTTATCTCAAACCACTGATACCATCATTCATATACCACACTACCTGAGCAGTTTGGATACCAGGTGAAATTATTTCAAAATGAGCTATTAGACTGAATCTGCCAGACTGAGCGCTGCCTGTCTTCTGCTGTAGAAGTGAGCTCCAAAACAGCAATGCACTAGGCAGAATCATAGAATCTACAACAGTGGTCCCCAGAGAGGGCCCTCCAGAAGCAGCACTGGTGTAGCATCTGTCTCTTACACCTTCTGTGGAACTCTGTCTCCTGCAAGTAACTTAAGAATAGCACACAATTATGTCAGAACAGAGAGAAGATTTCTAATTCCATATTGCTGGGATCTCACTTTCTTAGGGAGAGAAAATGTAATTCCCTAACCTACTGCATTCTTTCATCATTTTCATTAGCTGACCTGAGAAAACAGCTTTAAAGACAACCTAGAAGGAATATCATGTTCTGTGAACAAAGGGAAAACACAGGGTGGGTGGGGTCCAGGATGAGTAAGGGCAGGCCTGGAATAATTTTGCTAGATATTTTATTGCTGATGAACGCTAGGTCTTTATTTGGCATATTAAAATAGTGCTGGGGAATGAGAGAGAAGCTGGCACATTGTCCTATAGATGGGATGGCCCTGGAGATTTGAACAACAGTTGGAATACAGCTGCCATGGCTAAAACCAAGCAAGTACAGATGTCATACCAAAGTGGAAGTAATTTCATATCATCACATGCTGCCAAGTTCAAAATGCCAGAGGAGGAGAAGTATTGATGAAGGAGGACTTTAAAATAGACTGGATAACTATTTTAAATAACAATTCTGTATACAGCTAAAATTTCTGGTGCCAAGGTCCATGAGCAACAGTTATTATGGTTTAAAGAGCTCAATCAAAACCGTCACCGCTCTGCAAAATTAAAACAATACAATATGCTGTTCTCAGAGACTGGAATAGCTACATTAAATGCAGTCATTGGATGTTAGACTTTGCAATTCCAAATGTTTGTTTAGAAAATGTCCTTCTACAAAGCATTGTTTTTCTCCCTTTTATTCTGGTGTTTGTTTTCCTTATAAGCAGTGCTATCATTTTCTATTATTTTAACTGAGATATCTGATAAGAAGATATATCAAAAGCATACGCTATCACATCACAGCACTCATTTCCCTTAGAAAAATAAACGAGGGGGACCAGCATGAGGTGCTGGACTTCTGCATGGCCGACCGTGGTTTGAGTCCCACACCCGACAGTTTTCTTTCTCACCTTCCCTTTCTCTCTGCCTTTCTGGCCAAATTAAAACAACCATAATCATAATCATAAATACAATTAAATATCTTTTTTTTAAATAAAAGTAAATAAAAGAACACTTCGCACGCACACATGCACAAAACCAACTTACCAAATGCCTTCTTAGGTTCTATTAACTGCAAGGTGAAGAGTTCTTCCTTTTTTAATTCCTTTAACTTCTTGGCAACATCATAGTGACGCCACCCAACAATATTTTCTCCATTTATGGATTCAATATGATCACCTACACAGATAGTCTTCACTGAGTCAATGATGCTCCCATCTTTAATTCTCTGAAAGAAGGAAAAGTAATAATTATAAAAAAAGAATCATATAATATTACTTTTCATGCTTTTGAGACATTCCATACCACATACTGACATAGTAACAATGTGATTTGATGCTCAATAAAGATGGAAGATTAATCAATAAAAGACAAGCATCCTCCTACCAACCATTCTTCATCTTCCTTATCGTTCAGATTTGGCTCAGTTACAGTCACCACCTTCTCTAGTCTCCCGAGAATGGGGAAAATGTCACTTTCATACTTCTGTAATACTTTCTGCTCTGTATGCTGAGCTCTACGCTACCCACATAGATTTCCCATTTCATTTCATTCTAACAACTTTTGTGAGACTCTCACATCATAAATCAGGAAAATTGGGGCTTGGAAAGATCAAGTAATTTGCAAGATTCAACATACTACCGTGCAATTGTTTATTTACCTTTCAGTGTCCATTACTTGGGGACAGAGACAGTCTTATTTATTATTTTATTCCTGTGTACAGTGACTGCACAAAAGTCTCTCCATAAATGATTGTTTAATGTCAACATCAGGCCCATTACATAAGAATAAATTCTGTGCTTTTTTTGCTGGCTATATTTTTTAAAACTTAAGTTACAAATATAGACTTAAAGAATGGTATGATCTTAGCTAAGACTGAAACATAGTAAGACAAATGTGATTATCATTTTGGGAGTCAGTAAGAGTGAGTTTATAGTATCACTTCTCATTTATGTATTTTAGATGAGGAGAACTCAGGACTGAAAGGAAAACTTCAAGTTAGTGTTTTACATATTTTTTAATTGTTTTGAAAGTTTTTTTTCTTTTTTCTTTTTTTTTCTTTTTTCTTTTTTTTTTTTCAGTTTTCTATAGAACATGTGCGCTCGCAGGAGAGAAATAAGGAGAAAGTGAGAAAGCCCTCCTAGGGACGATGATCACACCACAACCCCCTCTCCTCCACTCTCTTCTCAGAATGTTGGGCATACACGACATGTGCCTGGCATATTCTTCAAGCCACTGAATCCAAGATTCAAATCACATAGACTGCCATGTGGGATCCAGCCCCCCAACTAGCACACTACCTGGCTAACCCTGAAGTTTTGTTCTTTCTTCCATGAACAAGAAAGAAAGAGACAAGCACCCCCAACCAAGTCTTTATGCTATGATTCACCCCCCAGTTTCAGCCAGCCCTGGATCAAGGGAATGTGCACACCTAGTATGTTCGGGGAGGTCTCCAGCCACAAACCCGGAATCTTCACATGTGGAGCAGCCTTGTGGAGAGCTGTGTAACTGCTGTGCCACCATCTGACTTCTAAGTTGGTCTTTCTAAATTCTGCCTTACTTCTCTACAATATATCTGCAGTGCAAATTTCCAAAAGGAAACCTAAGATCCCTAATGTGACAACTAGAATTTCTGAAAGGATTTTAGGGACAGGAGCTTCAGAAAACTCCCCAGTGATAACCACCTGCAAAGGATATGCAAGTTTTTCCACACTACAAAGAGTGAGGCAAAATGAAGTTTACAATCTACCTTGGGAGTCACAAATTTTTCACAGGAATGATAGGATAGAAAATTAGGGGCTAGGGCCACCAGGTAGCATGGAGGTTAAGGCACTGGATCCCACATGATGGACCACACAGTTTGAGTCCCAGACCTGGCGACTTGAAAATCCCTCTAGGTGCATGTGCATGCGTGCCACCAAGATCCTGAAGGGAGAATGAAGGAGAAGGGATAGCAGCATGGCCATCCCCCTTTGTGAGTGATTTCTCACTTTCCCTCTGTCTCTCTCTGATGAATGCACATGCTCTATAGCAAAAACTAAAAATAAATAAATATACCAATTAGGGGATATTGTTATTGTGTAATAAAAGGATGTGCATGCCTTGTGGAAGTATAACAATGGAATCATTCTGTCTAAGAGTTAAAATAAAACTTACCTCATGAGGTAAGGTATTTCCATAATATTGTCAGTAGTGGAAAACAAAGTTGTTAAAGAGTGACCTGGGAAGGTCGGACTTTTTTTTTTTAATTATTTGATTTAACTTTATTTATTTATTCATTCATTTATTCATTTCAATTTGACCAGAGAGGAACAGAGAGAGGGAGAGAGAGCAAGCTGCCAGGTTCGGGACTTGAATCGTAGTCAGCCACGTAGGAGTCCAGCACCCTTAACCACCAAGCCACCTGCCAGCCCCAGACATTTTTGATTTTTAAATTGTACTATTGTATATCAAAACTCACGATTGATATTTTTACTCCCAAATGTTAAGAACATTGCTATGTTCATTGTTACCATAAACATGCCATACGAAAATAACACAAAAACGCAGATTTAAACAAAGCTCACTGGCCCAGCCATGATAGTACACACTGGTAGATGCTGTTCCTCAGCAGGCTGAGGCCATATGGTGGGCCCAGGTTCCGTTTCCAACCTACCCTAAAAGCTAGGAGCAGTAGCAGCTGCTACTGCAGTACCAACTACTCAGGAGGCTGAAGCAGGACGATGGCAACATACACAAAACCGTATCTGAAGAAGCAGAGCTCAGCACTTATCATTACAAAGAGTTAATGATAAAATAAAAGAACCAGAAATGTTATCCTCTGACTGACACTGATTTATTAAAAATTCATATTAGCCTTATATAGCTAAAACAAACAATGGTAACCACAGACATCACTCAGTACAACTGGTATCTAAACTGTCACAGAAAAAATAAACAAGCTATTAAATAATCTGTTACATAACCATTCTTAAGCCATTAAAGAGTTTGAAACTCTATATTTAACTTGGAATTTTTTCTGAATCTTTAGTCTAATTTATCTCTTGATACATCTTGAACCTATTTTTTTCTCCAATCAACTACACATTACAAGTTTCGGTGTTCCACCATGTATTGCTTTTAGTTTTTTAAGACTGATGGTTATGGTTTTATTAAAAATAAGCATTACATAAAGTTAATTAAGTAAAAGACTTTGAAGACATGTATGTGCCTTACCAGTGAATTAAAGGTCAGAGTAACAGAAATCAAGGGTTGCCCAGGCCTGTGAGTAGCCATAAAGGTCACCAGAAAAGTGCCCAGGCTGGCGGAGGAAAGGTAGTAACCAGGAGTCAGAGCAGGCAGCAGCGCACGAGTCCAGGAGACCAAGAGAAAAGGCAGAGGCAGCAGAACAGGCAGCAGATCTGGGATGAAGTACAGGAAAATCAATAGAAGAACCTTGGAGGCCCAGCAGCTGGACATTAGATACTGTGGCTCAGCAAGCTGAGGCCATATGGGAGGCCCGAGTTCAATTACAAATTAGGTACAATGACAAATCACTAAGGAAGGTAGAGTAGGAAGATGGCAGCACAGCAAGACCCCACCTAAAACACATGCCCCCCCATAAACATAAACACACACACACACACACACACACACACACACACACACACTATGCTTGGTGATGAGCACCAGAAGGTGAACCAGTTATGGAAGCGAGGTGCAGACCCTGACTGTGTACTTTATGGGTTACCTTAGCCTTAGTCTCCTGAATGGGTAGAATCAATAGAATAAAGAATGAGAGAGCAATAAAAACAAATTTCTGAAATATAATGCACTTTGATAATCACACAATAACTTGATAGTGAGCAACATTTCTAAAAGTGCTACTCAAGACCAAAGGATAAAAAAGGAGAAAAGGAGAGGAATTAATGCTAGACTTAGGCACTTAGATTATTCTCTAGAACACTATGGAACTTTCTGCCATCTGGCTTTTGGGCCTGATGCTACAAAAGGCAGGGAAGACTTAACTGCTGCATATATATATATATTTTTTTTTTTTGAGAGGTTTTTGCTACAGGGTGTGTGCGCTCGCCAGACAGACAGAGAGAGACAGAGAGACAGAAAGTGAGAAATCACCCCCCCAGGGGGGATGGCCACGCTGCAATCCCTTCTCCACCATTCTCCTCTCGGGAACTTGGGCACGCACGCCACGCGCCTGGCATGAGTTTTAAGCCACCGGGTCTGGGATGCGAACCGTGGTCGACTACATGGGAGTCCAGCATCATAGCCATTACGCTAACTGCTGTTCCCACTGCTGCATATTTTTTTTTTTTGGAGAGATTTTCACTGTAAGGCACATGCGCTCGCCAGACAGAGAGAGACATAGAGACAGAAAGCGAGAAATCACCCCCCAGGGGGGATGGTCACGCTGCAATCCCTTCTCCACCATTCTGCTCTCGGGAACTTGGGCACGCACACCATGCGCCCGGCATGAGTTTTAAGCCACCGGGTCTGGGATGCAAACCGTGGTCGACTACATGGGAGTCCAGCATCATAGCCATTACGCTAACTGCTGTCACTGCTGCATTTTTTTTTTTTTTTTTGGAGAGATTTTCACTGTAGGGCACGTGCGCTCGCCAGACAGAGACATAGAGACAAAAAGCGAGAAATCACCCCCCAGGGGGGATGGTCACGCCGCAATCCCTTCTCCTCCATTCTCCTCTCGGGATCTTGGGCACGCACGCACACGCGCCCGGCGTGAGTTTTAAGCCACCGGGTCCAGGACATGAACTGCGGTCGACTACGTGGGAATGCAGCAACATAGCCATTACGCTAACTGCTGGTTCCCACTGCTGCATATTTTTTGAATGATAGGATTTACAACTTCATTAAAGGTAGAAATTTCCAATCATTTTAAATCACTACTGTACTATTATCCATTATGTTCATCCATATATATAAAGAGAACTCTGCCTTCTCCTCACAGGCATCAGCAGTGCTCTGAAGAAGGGGAGGGAAAGTGTCCTACCATCTCCAAAATCTTTTTTTTTGAGAAAGAGAGAGAGAGATTTTTGCTATAGGGTGCATGTGTTCACCAGAGACAGACAGAGAGTAAGAAAGCGAGAAATCACCACCCTGGGGGAATGGCAATCCCGTCTCCTCCAGTCTCCTCTTGGGATTTTGGGCACGCACGCACATGTGCCCAGTGTGAGTTTAAGACAGGGTCCAGGACTCAAACCACTCGACTAT